CACTGTGTCAGGTTTGGGCTTCGGATCAGGTTCATTGAAATTTTGTCAAAAGCCAAACCCAAGCCCGGCCCATAAACAAGTGTAATGATAACTGATAAGTAGAAAACTAGAGATAACGTTCATTTGGTTAGATCCATATCCATCCTGTATAGCCCTGCCCCACGATGGACCATCTTTCAGCATCCACTTAGCTTACGAATCACAACTCAGTGTATATCCAACTCTTGTGGCCATTATACGACACACACACATTGGATCCACCCAACATGGCATTATCTATCCTTTGTGGATTCGCCACATCTGTCCCTCTCAATACATCATGTCAAAACACGTGGCAGTATCCTAAGACTACCTAGGTGGGGACACTCATAGGTCTGGACGTGAATATAATATTCATTGTAGGCGACTGATCTGAATGTTAGAATATCGGATCGGCACAGTTTGATCGTTGATCATGGATGGAAAGAGGATACACATTTATTCTGCCCCTTGATTAGTAGGGAGTGCGGTGCATACATGCTTTTCTCCCTTGATTAGTAGGGAGTGGAGTATGCAGTGCATACATCTATGGGTGGCAATTTTTCACCCAACCCGCTGAACCCACCCAGTATTTAATTGCCCAATCCGCCCATTTAAATGGGTTGGGTTGGGTTGTGAATAACTATTAGGTTAATCATTACAGACAGTAGTATTACTTCCTTAACTTTTTTTTATTTTTTTTATTTGAATTAAATAATTTATAATTAATGCATTAATTTTCTATTAATTATTGACTAAATTTAGTTTTGTCTTAATCAACACACTTCACCCAACATAAATCCAAATCAATTTGACCCAAATCCAGACCAGTTAAATACGGTCTGACCCGATCCAACATATACCAATCTGGGTCGACCCAAATCCGAAATAAACCTCAAGCGGTATGGCTTGGTGCCGTTTGCTTTGCCCGGTTTGGATCATCCAGTCCAACCATTAGTCACACAACCCAGTTTGACCCGACACAAGCTTATCTGGGTCGACCCGAGTCCGAAACGGGTCAGCAGTGGGGTCCGAACCCTAAACCGCCCCACTTGCTTTGCCCGTTTGGATCATCCAGTTTGGCCCATATCTGTATAATACGACCCGAATCCGGCCTGGTCCGATTTACTTCTTTTGACCCACTTCGGGCCAATCGGTCTGGGCCCAAACCCGTGCACAAACCTGATATGAGCCAACCCAAGTGAATCCACCATTTGACTGAACCGGTCCAGTCTAGTCCGACCGGATTGAACCGGCTCGGTCAGGGTCTGGCCCAATCAAACTGAACCGGTCCTGTCATGGTCTGGTCCGACCGGATTGAACCGGTTTAGCCAGGGTCTAGTCCAACCGGACTGATATGGATCTAAACGGTTCAACCACTCTTGAACTTTATGTGATTACCTCGAAGACAATCCAATTAGATAGTTCAAGTTGGTTTGACCGGTTTGAACCTATGTGGTTCGTCAAATCCGAAACCCAAACATAGTTAAATGGCTTTGCTGCTTGTATAAAAATAACATGACATGTGATTTGAACCTTCGCCACTTGTGTAAATAACAACTACTATTACCACTAAGCTATGACTAATTTATTTGTTAAAAAAGAGTTAGTTTTTTGTTTTAAGTACATAAATATAAGATTAATGGATTTGGACAGATTGGATTGGGTTAAAGCGGGTTTGGGCTGAACCTAACCCATTTAATTTTATATAATTGGGTCATTAACGGGTTGGTGGGTTAAATGGGTTGGGTTGAAACTCAACCCAAACCAAACCCAACCCAACCCAACCCAACCAATTGCCACCACTACATACATCTGGATTCTGGTGCTGGGTGGTTTTTACTTCTGTTTTTTTTCGCTTCATGGGACTACACAACAGGGGCTAGATCCCCTTTCCCTTAACCCCCAACTCCTGGTGGCAGTGGGATTTGATCCCAGGTCTCTACTCCGACGAGTCAGAGAACCTACCAACTGAGCCACCATCAGTTCTAATTCCTTTTCCGCATCACCACTAATTTTCTCTCCCACACCAACCTAAGAAATTAAGCATTCCATCTTCCGTTCTGATCAGAGATGTCTCCACTCTAGAGGTTTGAGAGTTGCTAAATCTTTCCATCTTTCATGTGAGTTACAAGTCACAACAGTAGATGTTAATGACGATTTGATGCCATTTAACCATCTCCTTTGAGTTGGGTAGTCTGCTACATGGAAATTGGAATAAGCCATGAGAGAGATCTTTCTTTCTTTCTTTTATTGCTTAAACAGAACCACCAGTGCCAGCAACCCCTTATATCAATGTTTTGAGAAATATCAACAAAAAAAGGAGAATTTGCATTTTAATTCTCCGATGTGGTGTTTATTCTAAGTTACCAATAATGTTCTGAATGTTACTAATACATGGAAAATGCTAAGAACATTTTTTTTTCCATTAAGCCTGTCGCATTTAAAATACCTGATTACTTTTTAAATGTTTGTCTTTAAGCATTAATCACAGTTTTATCAACAATCTGCTAAGTTCTGAAAAATTATTCATTTCCCATAATGCTTCCCACAAACTGAAACATTTTACCTTATTTGGAAAACTTCATAAAATTCTTCATTGACCAAAATTTCCATGCAATTCGAAATTATGAACCTTGAGTGATAGAATGAGTTGTTGGAGTTCCATTTGGATGTTGACTTTCAATCAAAACATATTCTGAAGCCTGTCAAGTGTTGATATTTTATGGTTAAACACTACACCTACACGGTGAAGTCTCATGATCAGGTGCATCTTCCATTGGGTCGTGCCGTCATCTATTCATGTCCATAACTAGCAACTTCACTTTCAAAAGACCCTGAAATTGAGGGCTTTACTGAACCAAATGATGAATAAATATCTATTATAAATCCTATCCAAGAATATCCTTTATGCATCAGTAATGTAAACCTAGGACTAGGAAGAATGCACAATACCCCTATGCCTTGATAGCAAAGGTTATGACATTCCCAACCATATGCCCCTCCCTACATGCTATACAGCCCCCCCNCATCTTCATCTTGAAAATAGCTTTAGAGGTTTCATCATACAAAAGAGCCCTATTTACACCCAATCCAGACTAATCCAACTGCAATCCAGCTAAGGTCCACCGATATCCAGCTAATCTGAACTAGAATGGATGAAAGAATATCTTATTTCGATCAGATACAGATAATGGAAAATTGAAAATGGCTCCATGAACCCTTCCATTTTCTATCTAATAACAATGGCTGGAAGATTGAATCCCCTTCAACTACCGAAATGATAATTCACAACCCCTTAGCAATGAAGTTCCTGTAGGACAGCAGTTATTCTGCCCTTGTACAAATAGAATCCTTATCACTCACAGTGCAACTGAAATGCCCTCTCTGTCATTGAACACCTTCTCTCCCCTGCCCCCTCCCACCCAAAAGAGAGAGAGAAAAAAAAGTCAGCTGACTCCAGGCCTCCTATATGTTTCAGGTTTCAATTCACATTGTAATTTAAACAAGTATGTTGCCTTTAAATTTATTTGTAGAACCTTTCAGTTGTTCTAGATCCATTACCAAAAAGGAGAAAAAGAATTATTCTCGATCAATATCATAGAGTCAAGGTAGTTCCATTAAATTTTCTATGTGGTTAGCAGGTTGGATTGATTGCTAGATGGTCTTGACCATTTTAACAACACAATTGATTGCTGTGGCCATGGGTCCACCTTTGGTGCTTGGGGGCATTGTGTTCTCCTTTGCAGATCCAACATTTGTAGCAGCAGGTCCAACTCTGGGGCCTACAGGCTGAAGCCTAGGGCATCACATAGATTGGGTTCTCCTTGTTTTTTGATGAATAAGGGTTCTCCTTGTTGATCAGATTGCTGTAACCACGGGTCCACTTTTAATGTTTATGGGCCAGGATCCACAGACCGAAGTCAGATTTCTTGTGGGGTGCCTCATGACTTGCACCTTAGGCCTATTGGCTATTATGCTTGTGAGACAAGCCAACATACAAACTGGGCCTCAGAACTAGGTAGAATTCTCTCTCCTCTCAACTTGACTGCAAATGTTAACTAAACCTGAGTTTTGCATGGTGCTGATAGGTGGCCTATTTCCTGATATCTGTTTATATCCAATACCCAATAAATCTACATATGAAATTCTCAGTCCAGAAGCTGTGAACAAAGAGAACACCTAAAAGTTCTCCAGAATATAGATTCAAGACCTGCTATTGAAGTCTGTTTCTGCTTAAGTGTGAATAAGGAAAAAAATAGTCATACACACCCCCCCCTTCCAATTATGTCCAAGTATGAAGAATAAAAGTTAACTTTTTCTTCCCTCTTGAACTACAAACAATTGCACTCTATGTCAGATTTCTCTCTTAAAATCAGACAGAACCATATAGCTTCTGGACATCAGAGTTTTAGGTGTACTTCATCTCAAAAAATTTGCAATTTCTCGAAGAAAGAGTTTGGTTGAATGGAAAGGCTAACCTGGCAACATCCCTTTGTGCAATCTTTGGGAGGCTTCAATTATCTTCAAGTATTTGAACATGCCACCTCCAATGGTTTGGCTTATATGAGACAAGGCACATACACATATGCACATGGAAAAGCACGTAACAACTGATAAATTGACTCAAACATACTCACCATTTACTGTGTTAACATTGATTAATTAGAACCACTGCACATCTTAAGCCTGAGATGCGCTAGGGTTTTAAGCAGTTGGAAACCAATTCAAATTCAAGCCAGATGATAACGAGCAAAGAAAGCTAGCACATGGAGATATCTAAATCTATGGGGGATCCTCATAACTGATCAGTAGGATGTTAGTCTATGTGATACATTAGATGGTATCACCCCCAATATAAAAAGCAGTAAAGTGTAACAGTTCATATGTAGAAGACTGTAAATTCACTTTTTTCTGATCTATGTAAGACTTAGGATTAAGTACAATTAAGTTAATCAAACATTTACTACAAATAACGAATATGGGCTTAAATGCATTCCCATATGAAGCAATTACCATTCCATAAAATTTGGTTGAGACATTAATCTCTCGTTTTTTTCTTATCTATAGGGAACTCCAAATATACAAGATTCAGCAGAAGGGAGAGTTTTCAGGTAATTATTAAAAGTAATACATTTCTAGAGAACCTCAAAAGCAAAAGATTCATTTAGAAGTTCTCAGTAGCCCAACAATAACAATTCAGATCAAAAGGAAGAAGAATTATTACAGATGATAACGACGATGGAGAAAACCCTAATTATTATTCGACAGCATTATTTACCAAACCCGGGGACTTCTTCTCGGAGGCTTCTGCCTTCTGTTGCAGGAATTTCCGTTGGACATCCCTCCACGTGTTTATGGCAGCCGTGCAGACGACTGTAACCTCGCCGGAGAAAACCGTGGATCCGGGATCATCAAAAAGAAGAAGAAATTAAGAAAAGATGAATGTAAATGAAGATGAATTCAGGAAAAAGGAAAGGAAGCATGAATTAGTTGTAATTTACCTCCAGCGCCAACGAAAGCAAGCAATCTAACAAGCTTCGAGCCAGCCTCTTGTCCCGCCATACTTCCTTCCGCTCAGCTCCTCGTGCTCTATTTCTTCTCTCACTGAGTCAGTGACTCGCTGCTCCTTGCTTCCGTTCCGTCGACAGTCTCGAACTCCCCAAACTTTGGGAAGACCTAGAATTAGACCTGGCAAAAAGTTGATCCAATCCGCGAACCCGACCCAACCCAACCCGAAAAAACAGGGTTAGGGTGTCATATTTAACTACTCGAATGTGAAAATGATCCGACCCGAAAAACAGATTGGCTTGGGTCATGGATCAATCCGCTGATCTGATTGTCAAGTTTAATTGGGATTATTTATGCATTGTTAGAAGTTTCCAGTGTTACATTTTTTCTATTTAGTCTTTATTTTTTATTGTTTATTCTTTAAATTGTTAAATGTTCAAGTTTTTTATTTTATATTTGGAATTTTAGGTTAATTATTTTAATTTTGACATTTTTCTTTATTTTTTTAAATTTCAATTATTTTTTGGGATGACCCGAATTGATCCATGGGTCAACCCTAACCCGAACATTTACAGTTAGGGTCTAGCATTTGACAACCCGATCTGAAATCAGCCCGAAGTACCTTGGCCTAACCCGAACCCGCCCCACCCAACCCAATTACCAGGTCTACCTAGAATAAGTGAATAACGGGATTGATCGGGCCGAATTGGGTGCCCACTGTCAACGTATAGTGGGCCTCATAATAGGTGGGGTGTCAATGGACCGGTTTTGGGTTGTACTCCGTTCAAATCAAAATCCATTTGTACGGATTGGATGAACCAATAAGACATATTGAATTTGAACGGACTGGATAGATTAATATGACATATTGGATTGGATCTAGTCCATCCATAATGAATTTATATTAGATTGAGTCAATATCTGATCCATTTATAGAATATAAGAACATAGATGTCAATGGACCAGGTTTGAGTTGAAACCAATTTAAATTAACAGGAATTTAAACAGATTGGACAATCTTTGGACCGATCCAAAATGGTCCAAAATATTCATTGGACTGGATTGGACCAGGTCCATTTGTAATGGACTCACATTGGATTGGACCGAATTGGACCAAATCCAGTCCAATTGACACCCCTTAATAGGTGCTGGTTTGTTGCCATTCCTCCGCTAACCCGTCAATGGGTTGCCAGGTTGGGTTAAATGATAAATCCGACTTGAACCACGGAGTAGGGTCAGATTTATTAGGGTGGTGTTTGGGTCATTGTCATTTTTTAAGGAAACGATATTACATATGAGTCGCATCAGATTTTGAGAAAAATGGCAAAAAAAATGCATTGGCATATGCTGTTTGGTTAGTCGTTTCTCAAAAAAAAAAATAGTAAAATATTTTTGAATCTGGTAAAATCGATAACCGACCGGTTATCGGTTCAAAAGGTCTGACCGTGCGACCTGAACGGTTGGCCCGTTCTGACAAAAAAATAAAAAATTTAAAAAAAATATAAAAAAATTCAAAACCGTTCGAATGGTTAATCAGACAGTTCAGCGGTTTGCTGATCAAAATCAACGGTTTTGGGGGAAAACTGAACCGATCAGGTTACCGGTTCCCAGTTTTTTCGGTCCAACCGTCAGTTCGGTCCGGTTTTGAAAACCATGCCTAAAAGAGCTCGCCTGAACTCCAACCTATCTTGTTCTACCTTTTGACAATAGCATTTGAAGACCACTATTCTCAAACTTTTCTTCAGTTGAGAATGCCTTGTTTTTACATTTTACCATCAATGTGCTTCTAGTCAGAGAGAGCAAGTGAAATGAGCTGTGGGGAGAGGAACACATAGGAATGGCAACGGTGCAGGAATCATATTCCCCGTCCTCAACCCCAATTTTATAATAAATCCTTGTCTCCAACCCTGGTCCTCAACCCCAATCATAATCCCCGATTTTCAATGGGAATGGATTCCCCACTAGGCAGGATAGGAAACTCATTATCTAAAACAAATAATATTTTAAATATATTTTAATATATAAATAACATAAATAATACATAATATAATAATATATTTAATATAAATAATATATATATATATAATCAGGGTCAGGGAGGAGTGAGGACCCCATTCCCCATCCCCGACTCTCATGGCTTGGCTCAGCCCATGGCCTAGCACAGCCCATAGCATGGCTTGGGCCCACCTGGGTAGGGGTGCAAATGGATCGGATCATGATCCGATCCAATCCAGAGTCCGATCCTATTTTGTCGTGTTCAGATATCCCTACGATACATACATACATACATACATATATAATATTTTTTATATAATACATATATGTTATATATTTATTTATAAATATGTTATTTATATTATACTTTTGTAAATTTCTATATCATTGATTTTTTATAAAAACATGTATATATATGATAAAAATAGTTGAAAAAATACTTGTATTTTTTGTTTTTTCTTTATTTAAATTGTTACACTTTCTTTTCCTTTTAATAATTTATTAATTTTTTAAATGAAATCAGATCAGATCACATGTGAATATTCCGACATGTTGATCAGATTTAAATTCAAATAAGTATTTATGAGATCCGATTGGATCTATAGTGTATTAGATTGGATTTACCCTAATTTGAATCCAATCCAATCCATTTACATCCCTACGCCTGGGCTCCTGCTAAGGGCCATACTAGGCTTGACTTGTTAAGGATCCCTGAGGAGGTAGGCATGGTCCATGTAGGCCCGAGGTCGGCACAACACAATTCACTAAGGCACAGATGGCCCACAAAGTCGATTTACACCTCTACACATGGGAGAGTTAGATGCACTTAAGGGACAAATGCCATTGTTCTTAGGGGTGCAAATGGACCGGATCATGATTCGATCTTATTTTCGTCGGATTTGGATAACCCTCAATCAGATTTTTGGATCGGATCGGATTCGGATCACCCCTATTCGATTCGATCCAATGTATATATTTATAAACATATTTACTTATAAATGACATGTATATATTAATATTTTTATTTATAAATATGTTTATATTGTATTTTTTGTAATTTTTTATAAGAATACACACCCATATATAATGAAAATAGTTAAATAGTTAAAAAAAATACTTATATTTTTTGTTTTTCTTTATATAATTTTCTTTTAATAATTTACTAAATTTTTCATAATTTGAATTGGATGGGATCAAATTCGAATATCCGATATCCTTAATGGATTCAGATTCGAATCACTATTTGTGAGATCCAATTGAATTTTCACATCAGATCAGATATCGGATAAGTGCTATTAGATCGGATTCAGATATACCCTAATTTGAATCTAATCCGATCTATTTGCATCCCTCATTGTTATCTATGAATTAGAGTGCAATGTGGGGAGCCATTGTACGTATCACACCTGGAGCAATTGAAACGTGTTATAGTTTCAAATACAAAACGTCATCAAGTGAAAGAAAGGCGTACGAATCTTCTCTCGGCACTCATGCGCTACTGCTTAGTACTTAATTAGATGTTTTAAAAGAAGAAAACAATAATAAAAATTTGAACAAATACCAATGGCAATTGGTAGAGACACATTGGATAAATCATTAATTAGGCTTATTATTTTTTTAAGAAAAAGTAAAATTTAAAATATGAAACAAAAAGATAAATAGATTTGTTGAAAGGAGAGACGTGCAGATATGGCATATATATACATTAGCGGGGACCCGTGCGGGATTCGTTAAACAAAAACTAAATAATAGAAATACATAAGAGTATATAATTGTTTTATATTTTATATTTTTAAATAATTAATAATTATTTATATTTTATATTCTACTTTTAACAATTTTTTTATAATACAAAAATAATAATAATTATTTTCTACTAGGATTGTTCATCAAACTGATGAAACCAACCAACCCGACCAACTCGGGTTTCTAATATTTCAATTGGCTTTAGTTCAACAATTCCCAACATGACCAAGTTGGATCAGTTTTGCCTTACCCAATTGTAAATTGATCAAAAATGGAATGACTCGACCATAGATATATACTAATATTTTATATTTTAATATAATTTTTTTAATATGCAAAGTGGGAAAATTTCCATATTCCTTAGTTTAAAATATTTTAAATCATAAATTTATTTTTTAATAATGATATTGTACTTTTTAATTTTAAATTTATTTTTTAAGTTTAAATCTTTTGAATCGACTAACCAAATTGATACAACCTGAGTTGGCCGGTTTTCACTAATGGTTGGTCGGTTTCAGGTGACCAACTTGACCAGGTCAATTTGGTTAGCCAAAATGCCTACAACCGAACCAACCCATGAACACTCTTAATTTCAACCAAATTAATAGCAATCTCTAACAAATAACAATAGTTTAATCTCCAATAATTACTGAAAATTTAAAACAAAAATACACAATTATTGAAAATAAATTGATAATAAAAATATAATAAATAAATAATAATTTTACAATAAATGCTATAAAATATATTAAATTAGTCATCAATAAATAGTGTAATCTCAAATAATAGTTTATTCTCTAATAAATATTAATCAACAAATTATAACAAAAATACAATAAGTAAAATAAATTAAATTTAAAAGGGTGAAATATGAAAACATCCCTTAAAGTTTTTAACAATCATAAAACCCTCCCTTATATTTTCTTTTTAACAAATTCCTCCCCTAAACTTTTTAGAAACTAAACAAAAACCTCCCTTTCGTCACCTTCCTAGACAGAAAACGTTAGATTGATGCACCAGTTTTTTCTAAATGCCCATTCTACACTTTTATAGATTATTTTACATACAAAATTATTGAAATCACCATGTTTTAATTTGATAAAAACCTCCTTTAACAGTCACCTTCTAACATTTTTTGCCGAGTTAAAATAGGGTTATTTTAGTAATTTTGTAGTTAAATAATTTATAAAAGGGTAGAATGGGTATTTTGAAAAAAACTGGTGCATCAATCTAACATTTCCCGTCTAGGAAGGTGACGGAAGGGAGGCTTTTGTTGAGTTACTCAAAAGTTCAGGGGAGGTATTTGTTAAAATGAAACTATAAGGGAGGTTTTTATGATTGTTAGAAACCTCAAGGGAGGTTTTGGTATTTTACCCAATTTAAAAAGTTAAATAACAATAGTTTAATCTCCGATAATTATTGAAATTTTTTT